GTGCCCCCCTGGGGGGGAGCTGAAGAAATTCCAGGGGGGGCGCAAGGCGATTCAGCCTCCCCCTCCCCCAATCAAGTTTTGCTGCCCCGTTCAGTTCCTTTTACTATGGGGCAGGGGCATGAGGGTTTTTCAAAAATCAAAAAGAGGGCGTGATGCCAAAAAGTTTGAGAACCACTGGGCTAATGGAACAGCTGTGGGCCTCGTTAGCCAGGGGGCTAGATAAGGCAGCCTGAGGGAAAGTGAAAGGGGGAGGTGTCAGGGTGTAGTTGAGTGTGCCCGCAAACCAGGAGAGGCTGGCTGAGTTTGTTGGGAACAAGAGCTCTGTAAATAGAAGGTGGTGGGAAATTGGCATGGGTGACTGCACCAGAAAGGGCCTTCTGGGGATTTGTGGACAAAGAAGATGTCCCATGGTGAGGGTAAGGACCTTGCCACAGAATCAACCCAGTCTAGCTTGTGGGCTTGGATAGGATTTCAGCCATGCTGGAGTGGCTGTGGGTCAGCCAAGCATTCCAAAGCAAAGCGCGCACGATTCCTTGAGACTCATTTTAGAGCCAACTGTTCTCTGCTTTGGCTTAGCTTGCTTGTTACTTTAAAAATGCTCCCCCTCTCGTCTACAAATAGCAGAGGACTGGCTGCATCACAGCAATCTGCAGATAGACCATAGACATTGTTTCACAGCTCACGGAGACGTGAGACCAGGCCCAGACTGGGTCGGGTGAAGAAAGAGCCTTATACATCCTCACACTACTCCTTTGGAAAGGACTGAACTGAAATAGCCCCCCCTTCTCCACCCCGCTTTTGTGCCTCTGGTACAAGGGATATAGGATAGCAAATCTTTTATGGGCACACTTTTCGTTAATCTGCAGTGCAATTTATGTTCTAATTTGAGGACACAATTTAGTAATGTTAATTATGTGACAGTATTTTGGTCTTTTCCATACCCGCTAGTAGGTTAATGACTGTGCCTTACAGAATGGAGATTATATAACAGAAGTTATTATATAAGGAAGGCTGATTGAATGCCATTATGGGACAAAGAACAAAAAACAAACAACTTGCACCCCGCACCCCAAAAAATCTGTTTTCATCTCTCTAATTAGCTTCCAAACAACTTACACCTAGGTTCCACCAAGGTGAAAGGACAGAGCAGGGCTTTCAAGATGAAAGCGCTATGTGATAACAAGGGCTGCGTGTTTTCACAGGATCCTGTTACACCACTACTCCCTATGGTGACCAACGTTCCCTGGAAATCTGGCACTTGTGCAGCCACTCAGGAGAGATTCCAATGATGCCCCGCTGATGAGCAAAGTGCCCACATGCTAGTTTTTGTTGTTGTTGTTTCTCCTGGTGCTGCACATTCAGCCGTGCCTTGGGGCACATAAGCATTGTTCTGAACATGGATGGAAAAGAGTAGAGGAACATTGCTGGTGACCACACCCTCACTATTAAATATTAGGGATGTTAAATATCAGAATAGTCAATTAACCTCATTAATTCTTATTGGTTAGTCGACTATTCTATAGTACCCAGGGGTGCGCTCTGGCCCCACTCCTGAGAAGCCCCCTGCCTCTCCGCACTGCTGCCTCTGTATCAGAGGCAGCAGCACAGAGTGCCAGGCGGGAACTGGTCCATGAGGAGAGCCAGTTTAAAAACCAGCTCCCCTCATGGACTGGCTGCCTTTCACCCTGTGCTGCTGCTTCTGATACTCCTGTCAAGGGGAGTTCTGAGCTCCTAGACCTGGTGTGAGCCAGGATTGAACCAGGCTGCCTGCCCGCATAGCTCCTAATACACTTTAAATGCAGAGCCACAGTAGGGGTAGGTCCTGGACCCATTGCAAGCCAGGACTGAGCCAGGCTGCTGGCCAGCCTGCTAAATAATTTACTGGTGCGGGGAGGGGTAGAAATGTGTGTAGCCTATAGCATTAACCTATAAGCTTTTGCTTATCGGTTAATCAGTTAATCGACTACACTATTACATCCCTACTAAATACATTGGGGAGAGTCATTTTTATAAGAAAATATCTGTACTGGCTGGTCATTTATTTTTCTGGGGAGTCAATGGTGAGGACTCTGGGATGAGTTTGAGACAAGCTGTGTTTAAAAACCTGGCTGCAATGCTCCAGTCAGTGCTTTCCCCCCAGGAGAAGACTGGAACCTTTGGGGTCTAACCTTCCTCTCTCTCACCTGTTCTCATGGGTGCCCCAGTACCAGGAATGTTCTGGGCCTGGGCTCTGGGAAAACTTGCCACCTGGACCTACATCCCCCAGATCCCCTGCTGGCCCACATGCTCCCCCCATTTTTCCCCACCCCCACCTGCCACCCCTGGTGATTTAAAATGCCCCATCAGGACTACAGCAGCTTCCAGCCACCCATTCACCCCAACTGGCAGCATGTGCATCCCTGCAGCCAGGGGGAGGCGAGACATTGCTGGCACCTGTGAGGAAGGAGTGGCTAGAAGCCTCTTTAACTCCACTGTGCTGCTGGTGGTGACAGCTGGGCTTCCTGTGCATTTCAGATCACCTTGGGGCTGCTGGTGGGGCCTGGGGAAGCGTGCAGGTTGGCAGGAGGTCAGGGGAGCGTGGAGGGAGAGTGTGCAGAGGCGGCAGCACCCAGAGACCCCCGATCCCCAAGAGCCATTGCCAGAAGGAGGTTCCCCAGGTAAGGGTAGCACCTGCCATCCACTCCCCCCATCCTCATGCACCCCACTCCCTCCTGTGCCTGTATCCTCTCTCCCACCCCCATCCTGCCCTCAAACTGCCTCCCCCTTCCAGCCCCCAAACTACCTCCCAGAGCCTGCACCCAGGAGCCCCGCCCCCTGCCCCAGGCCCCATCCCAGAACCTGCACCCCTCACTCCCTCCTGCAGCCACATTCCCTCTCAGAGCCTGCACCCTACACCCACCCCCCAAATTCCCTTGGCAGTGAGGAGGGGGCGGGACATTGAGTAGGGGAGGGGTGTGGGCTCTAGGCAGTCTGAGCACAACCAACATTTTTGCAAACCTGCTACGCCTGCCGATTCTGTACTGGTGTGACTGATTCCAGGCAAGAGAGCTCAGAATCCGCCCCTACGTTTCCACTGCCAAGAACGTACTCTAGTGCGCTACAAAAAATTAATGGGCTTAATGTGCAGCAAAGGATATTTAGATTCGCCGGAAGGAAAAACATTTCTAATGAGATGGCTCCTTTAGCTGTGGAAGAGGCTTCCCAAGGAGGCTCCGGAGTCCCCATCTTTGGAGAATTTTAAGACCATGTGAGACGAACACCTGTCAGGGATGGGGGAGGTGGCCCTGCCTCAGCATAGGGGGCTGGACTTGACTTTTCAAGATCCCTTTCCAGTCCTCCATTGCAGCATGTGTGATTCTATGATCCTCCCCTGCCCACCCTAGAATCCCTGGTCCCTATATGAATATAGGCCCCTTCCCCCAGCAGTTGAAGACCCATAACTATGAGTACAGGGACTTCCCAGATCAGGAAGAAAGGGATGCTGGAACCCAATAGAGAGCAATGCAAAGGACCACAACCATTCCTCGGTTTGAAAAGGGGGTGGATTGGCTGAAAGACCCCTCGCCCAACAAAGAATGAGCCTGTCGTTCTCTAGGAGGGAAAGCGACCAGCAGAGGGCGGTAGGGAGACAGGGAGCCGCCACCCCAAGGCCGCTAGGGCTCCAGACTCAGGGGCCCAAGGGGCGATCAAACGAGAGGTCAGGTGTTCGCGTCCCGCTCCTCCGCTTGTAACAGGCCCTGGGCTCCGCCGGTCAATTTTGGGCAGGGGGCCAATGTCACTGGGTTCCCCCCCTCCAGCCCTGTGCCACCGGGGCCAGCAAACAGTTAACAGCTGCCGGGTGCAGCGGGAAAAGCCCCTGGTCAAGCCAATGCCTTTGGTGCCCGATCTGGGCCCCCCTCAACAGCCTTTCAGGGGGTGTCCAGGGAGAGACGCGCCCTTCGTTGCAGGGACCGAGTCCCGCCCTGGCCAGCGAGGGGCGCGAACGCGGTTAAAAATCGGGGGCAAGCCCCCTTCCTTGCGCCGCGGTCCCAAATCGTGCCGCCTGGCAGGTGGAAGGGGGGGGCCCAGAGAAGGCAGCTGTGCCGCGCTCCCCGCCAGAGCCATGAGCCTGGGGCTGGATCCCAGCTGGGAAATGCCTGGCCCGGGCTGGG